TACATTGATACAGAATGAACTGTTAATTTGCATATAATATACAATTTGTTTAATTATGCTCTTGACAGCTGAAAAAATTTGAATCATAAGAAACAATACATAGTGATTTTCTGGCCATAGAAAATGAAACGTATTTAGACCATTATGTTATAAAAGCAACTTACTCGAATCAAAAAATCTGCTAGGTTTCCTTAGTTTTATGATTTCTTAAATGTTTCGTTTAAGATAGATAATTTGAAAAGCTCCTACGAAAGTTTTAAAAAGAATTTCTAAGGTGTTTAAGGAGAACTTTATTAAATTTTGTTCAATGGTAAAATGATAAAATTACTCTCCAATGCTAGGCAATGGATCAGTTTGATCACCCTCTTGGTTGCTAGATTGAATCTTCAAACGAAAATTTCATTTAACTTGGTAGTTTTTTTTTCGTATGTTGTAAAATAAATCTTGAATTAAAAAACAATCTGCTTGATAAAATATTCTGTTAGCAGATAAATTTTTTTTTTCTGTCTTCCAACCAAAATAGTTTAGTGCGCTAACTACAGGAAATCTGTTCTTTGCATACAATAATATTTCAAACTGAATCTCTTTTTAAAGAGAAATATCATTTTGACAGCATTCATTCACTAATATAAGTGGTTTACGGACTATTAATTATAGTTTATGTTTAATTGCAGCTTGACCATTGCTGAACGGAGAATTTCGCAGTTTGGAAGGAACTATTAACCTTTTCTTGACTAACAGACTCAAGCAGAAATGAATTCTGACTGTAAGGACATCGCATTAAGGTGTGTATGTTATCTGTATTCTGTGAAATATTTGTTTAGTAAAGTTATTTAGGCGCAAACTCAATTTCTGGCTGTAAATTTCTAGTAAATTTCTTTATTACTCTGCAAATTGAATATTTACAGTATGTTTTTCATAAAATAAATCATTGAACCAAGGATTTTTAAAATTTTGTTTTTATGATTCTCACATTTCTTCTGATAGGCTTTTTATCTAATTTTTTATCTCAAAAATACTTTAGTGAAAGATTTTTGTATGTTTTAATTCTAAAATGTACATACTTGAAAGTATGTAATAAAACTGCGTAATGTTTCAATTCTTTTTAATAAATTAAGCAGCGAGAGGGTTAAGACAAATCTTAAAATAAAATTATTTTTGATAGTTTTTAATAAATTTAAGACATTGATCTACATTTAAAAGTTAATTAGATTTCTGTAAATAATAAAGAAAAGTCTTTTAAATTTTTTTAAAGAAAGTTAAATAAAATCTGGCAAAAGACAGAAGTTTTCACAACTGCTTTGTGCAAGCGAAACCTTGGGCTTTACCTTGTACTCGACCATTGTGTATATAAAACCGTGATTGTCAAATTCTGTTCCTGTTCAAGTTCGGTTTGACTATGTCTTCTGAATTTGAAGTTTCTGTTAGTAATTTTGAAGTCTTAATATATAGTATGCATTATAGTACTTTAAGTCTAGTTACGTCTCAAGCTTGAACTGTTAAACTTTTCTTAATTGTAAATATCGGTTTTTCTAAGAAATCTCTTTGAAGAGTTCTAAATAATTATTAAACTTTAATTGCATTTCATGTCAGTTAGAAATTTTCTTAAAAGGACTTAGAAAATTTTTTAAGTTCCATCAATCTTAGTGAAAAGTTGCTTAAGAAGCCATTAGTTTCGTTTTTACGATTTATTTCGTAACTAGTCCGCGTCAGGTTTAAACTGTTATTCAGGTAAAATTTAAGTAATTTTTAAATGAAATTTCTTTTTGTTTTAACACAAATCCTGAAATTGACATTCGTTTTCTTTCAGATTTATACATCAGTTCTATTGGAATCTTCACCTATGCTTTACTTCGTGAAACTGAGCCTCTGATGCAAAGAGAAAAATCTTCTACTAGAATCTGCACAAAATGGTTTACTGCATGAAAATGAGTAGCAGATGTAACGAGTTGGAACAGGACTCTATACAGGTCAAGAACTCTTTTTAATTTTGTGGAATTGTTTTAGTTTGTACACTTCACATTAATTGCCTACACATTGTACTAGACTGATACAGATATTTCAGATCTTTAATGTTGCTTTCCTTTTTTTAAGTCTATCCTTACACGAAATTTTAACTGTAAGTAAGATGTTGAACGTTTTATGTAGTCATCAAAAAAATTGTAAGATTTTAACTCTTAGATATTTTACTGTCTATTTCAAGTTATCATTCAGACTAGTCTGATTGGAAACATCGGGCGATCACTTAGTCTTTGGAAATTCTTACCTAACTGTTAATTTTGCCCAACTTATCTAAATTTAGATTGACTCAATAATTAGAAGCAACTAGTATTCTTATTGTAAGAAAGTGTTTAAAATTCAACTCTTTCAAACTAAACACATTCGTTGTAACTCTTTATTCGCGTGTTTTTAAAGAGATTCAACTTTAAGATAAAAGGGAGAAATTCCTAAAACTAATTTCTAAATTTTTCCCTGGTTCCATTTTATAAACTTTTTGTCTTACGTTTTTGCAAAACGTATACAAAATTCAGTATAGTTAAGTAATTTTTGAATTCGACGGAAAAACAAAATAAACAAAATTCGACGGAAAACAGATTTTCTTAATGTAGTGAATGTTATTTAATAACTAACGAAATTTAAGATTGTAATCTGACTTTTCGTTTCAAACAATTTTCTAAGAATAAAATCTGAAATAAAACGGGTTAAAATCTCTCTTGAGAATTGTATTTAATAATTCGCAAGTATCTGATTTTGAGTATTTCAAACTAAGCTCTTAAAATCACATCGTTTGATACGAAATTTATGGAAAAAATCTCTAAACAGTTATATGGCATTGATAAAACATACAATTTGTTTACTTTCATGTTAAACTTGATTTTTAGTTATGAAAAATAAATGGACTTTCTTAATTTAGCTGTAAACCATTTTTTAAAGTTCCTCCTAGCGCAGAAGGGATGGAGACTATACGAATGGAGGAACCTAAAAACGATTTTTGTTTCAAACTTAATTAGATAATTAAACATTTTTAATAGTCTATATTTGCATTAAAATAAGTTAATAAAAGCAATTCTAATATAAGCACTTAAGGGTTCTTCGTGTTTTGAGCTTAAATCCAATGATTTTATAGTGTTGTGGTGTAATTGCAGTTGAAAGTAAAATTTAATAAAACAAATTGCCAACAAAATGCGCACTTCGCTCAGGAATTTTCAACGTAATTTTAAACTAAAATAAATAAAAGAATTATTTTAGCAAGTAGCTAATTTTGCCAAGGTAATGCGCTATTCAGTCTAGTTAAAGTACTTAACGTAAATTAAAGATAAATTTTAAGTCTATGACAAATTTATGAGTTTTAATGATACTTATTCGCTGCTGAAGTAGCAAAATAATGACTAACTGTTCAGTTAAAACAGAATAATGACTAACTATTCAGTAATCACGTAACACACCTTAACATTAACCATAACACTAATTCGCTGCTTCAGTGGTAGAATAAGTATAAGAGTAAACTCCTTTTTTGAATAAAAGTAAACTTATAATTGGGATTGGGCTCAATAGAAACTGTGTTGAAAAGTTAGTAAATTAACCGGGCGATTTTATTTAAAAAAATCTGAATGATGAAGTCTTTGTAGGAATTTTGTTACAAAAGTCACAGTGAGTTCTTCAAAGTAAAAACTAATTTACTAATGACTATGAAAAGGATCTTTTAGTTGCAATTTTCGTAAACTGAAAATAACTTACAAATTGCGTTTATAACATTTGAGATCACTTACAGCAAACTTCACTCAAACCGTAAGCCTAAATTCCATTTTACAGAGAATCAGATTGGCATTTCGTTCTAGCCCTACTTTAATGTTAAAAACGAAACTAGTAGAAAATTAAGCTAATGAAATTTTATATGTAGAAGAATTATTTTTTATATTTGAAAAATTACTTTAAATAGAAAGTAAATATAAAAAGATGTTTTCAATCTCTTGTATTTCAATGTCTTGTATTTGCTTGAAACATTTTCAAACTTCAGTAATGCAAAAGTTGCTCAATTAACGTATCGTCTTGCGTTTGTAGCCCAGCACATCTCATAATACAAGCCTTCGAGCTATACAAAGCTATTTGTAACTAAAGGAAAGACCCAGCGCATATGCAGAATATTTTTAATTCAAAAAATTAAATGAAATTTGATCATAAACATTAAAAGTTTATACAATTTCCAGTTTAACAAATTTTAACTAGAGTAGGCGAACCTTCTTATAAAATCAAAAGGCTTGAAGTAATTTCTGAAAATTTACATGATATTTTATTACTTCAGGAAATTAAATTCCTACACAGGTTTCCTCTAAAGTAGTTTTAAAATGTTTACCTGAAGTGTTTTTTAGTTATAATAGGTCAGCAGTGCTATTTTGTGAGAGGTCAGACTCTAAAGTACATAATACAATAATTCATAGTTTGATTTACAAAATTAAGAGTTCAAGTTCTAAGGAGAAAAAAAGGATTAAATTTTTTGCTTTAATATTACTTTTAAACACTTATTTCGGCGGAGATAGTTTAGAGATTTTTAAATTTCAATCTTAAGCTATTGAGTCTTTTCTAATCTTTTTCAGAAGAGCTTTTTAACCTATC